GATCTAACGCTCCTTCCTGCGATGCCATTGTGGAATGCTTTTGTAGAAGCCTTCGGAGCCTAAATGAACTAGAAGGGAATAGACTTTTTATTATTGCTGAGCGTCTTCCCAGAAAATAAACCTAAATGACAGTAGACATTCCTTCTCGTGGAATCAAGCTTAAATACATGGGAACTTTGTGGGATAGCCTGAAGGCATCTTTACTTTGGGATCCCACCGATGGCGTCTCATCCTTGTGGCATCTTTCTGATGGACACTGGAAAAGAAACACTGAAAGTGCCCTCGGTGCGGGAGACTCCTCGTGAACCTTGGGGAGGTATTCATGTTTCGGCATCACCACTGGGAATTTTCCTTGTGGTCATTTCTTCATGTTATTAACAAGAACGTCGGGTGCGGTAGTGGTTACCACTTGAAGAAAGTTTATCTCTTTCCAAAAGTCTATTCAGGTGTCCCAACACCATTTATTAAAATGTGTGTCTTTACCACCTTTTTTATAGGCTAAATTTCCACATGGAGTCCGCCTATTTCTGGAGTTTCTACTCTTGGTCAGAATCCATTCACACATATACTACCTTCTTTTAAATTATTGAAGCTTTCTAAAATGTTTTGATATCAGGTGGGTCCAGTCTGTCCTTACTTTGCATTTATCAGAATCATCTTGTCTGACATCACATTTGTATTTTTCTAATGAACCTTAGAATCCATTTGTCCAAGTCCAGAAAAAAGAACTTTCTGAAGTATTTTTGTTGGATCCCATCAAATATGCCTATCCACTGTTGTTTTGCTTCCCACGAATTCGTCACCCCTTTTCCCCTGGGTGATGGAGCCACCAAAGATTACTCAAAGCCCATCTCTTCTGAGCAGTGAGAAGCCCCCAAAAGGGGTTAATCTCCCAGAACCCTTAAGATAGAGGCATTCCTTCCATTTGGGAAATTAACCACAAATTGGGGTTCTCTTCCTGTATTTATTCTCCAGACCAGGAAGTTACAGGAAGAGAACATAGGTGGGTTTTTTCTAAGTACAGTTTAACAAGTTTAACAATAGAAGCTAGTAACATTCAGTAAGACAAGCAAGGTGACATTCTATAATACAATTAAGTTGATCCACTAACAAAAGCTTGATCTTAGCAAACATTCTCTTCTTACAGCAATTCCCGAGTGTCTTTACATATCAATCAGTAACTTGTCTATCTTTGAGCCAGCAACCTTGCTGTGTTACAATTCTTTATCTTACAACAGAGACTCAATAGCCTGGGGAAAATTTCCTGTCCTTTGCAAGGTCAATATTTGAAACTGCAAGGCTTTGGAAAACCAGGCCCTGTGAAGTACATTTGCTTTATGCATACTCCACAATCCTCCTGGGTGATTCTGACACCTTTAGGCTGCTATCAGTTCGGGTCCTTTGAGAAGCATTCTCCAAGAGGGGATTGGTATTCTAGAGATTTATTGGGGGAAATTTCTACAAAGTATCAAAGAGGAGGATGAGGCAGAGGAAGTGGGGAATGGCTTTCAAATTGTGATGTATGTCTCACACCTGTGAAAAAAGAAGGGGAGAAGGTTTGGGTAGAAGGAATGTCCAGCCGGTACCCCACTCCTGCTCAGTCATTGGCTGGGAAAGCCCAGAGAAAGCATGATGTCAGCAGAGCTTGCTGGGAAACTGCAGGTGCACCTGCTGCCTGATGTCACCTGACGGTTGCCACCTGCAGCTGCTGGTCTTGAGGAAAGATCAGAAGCATCTCCAGGGTACCCCATGGTGATGTGTCATTCTAACCAAGAGCAAAGGGCATCTTCCCATTGCTTCAGGTCTAGTTTTGTGTCTTTAACAAGAAGGTTAGGGCTTTTCTGCCATAGGTTTTGCACATTTCTTAACCACCAAACATTTCATTTTAGTTTTGATGTTGTCATTCCTATTATGTATCATAAAGGGGGTCATCACTCCCAACACATCCTTGTATTGACTGTTGTTTTTGTGTTTATAGAAGCTATTGAGTGCTGCCTGTTAGTTTTCTATCCTGGTACTTCACTGAATTCTCTTATTTATTTGTCGAATGTCAGTGTTGTTGGGTTTTCCTGGTATACTCTCGTATCATCTACAAATAGAGATATTTTGACTCTTCCTCTGAGATTCTCATGTTTCTCATAGTCACTTGGATCATATCTCCAATACAATGTTAATTATCAGTGGAAAGAGCAGAATAGATCCTTGCTGCATTTCCAACTTTAGCTGAAATATTTTAGTGTGCCCTATTGAACAGAAAGCTGGCGTTGGGACTAAGGAATATATACATACACATACATGTATGTATATATATATGTATATGTATGTATGTCTATGTGTGTGTGTGATTAGGATTTTTAAAACACGTAGTTGTGTCACTTAACAATAGGGATACATTCTGAGGAATGCACTGTTAGGTGATTTCTTTGTTGTATGAACATTATAGAGGGACCTTACACAAACCTATGTAGTATAGCCTACCACACACCTAGGCTATATGGTATAGCCATTGTAGTCCTGTTTAAACGTCGCCATATATGCAGTCCACGTTGACTGAAATGTTGTCACAGGGCACATGACTGTATTCCAATTTAAAAAATAATAAAGTGAGAATGTCATACTTCTACTAATACTACAGATAGTATTTTCAGGTCACTTAGGTTGGGTCAGATTATGGGATTTTAGGGGTTCAACTCTTCTGCCTTGAGGTTTGGAAGAATGTACCAGGAAATGTAAGCTCATTTAAAACCTGTTTTGCATTTGGGGTTGGAGTCAATTTTTCCAGGTGAACATACTTTTTGGTTGATTTATGTTTGTGTGTCAAGAAATAAAAACAAAAATGTTATTTACCAAGAAAACAGTTAGCACGATACTGGACATAAAATGGTAGGCTGACAAATAAAAATTTATATAGACAAATTACCTCCCAAAGGCCCCACCTGCTAACCATTACCTTGGTGATTAACTTTCAATATATGAATTTGGGTAGAGACACAAATATTCAGACCATAGCAAAGACCATATGCAAAAGTAGCCTGGGCTCCATATTTAATAAAGAACATTCCCAATAGATGTAAAGATCACTCATCTCCAGACCAAAAGTGAAGGGCATACAGTACATGTATATTATATACACAGACACACACATATGTAAGCTTATATACATGTGTATATATTATATTATATTATATTATATATATTTTCACAGAAAAAGACTTTATTGACTGCCTGTTCCCCAAACCCACTTCTCCCTAAGTCTTTCTCAGGTGGATTCATGGAAATTCCATTCTTGCAGTAGCTCAGCCCCCAGTCCAAGGAGTTATTCTTGCTTCGGGTCCCTGTGTCTGTCCTTTTCTTGAGTTTTGTTTTGATTTTTGCACTCCAGACTGCTAACCCTCATTCCTGGTGTCTGTCCCTGTGAGATGCATTCTGAACCCAGCCAACTCTCACCCATCTGTGCTGATCTGTGGCTGAGCCCCACCGTCAACCCCTGGGACTACTGCAGGAGACCCCTGGCACCCTGCCAGGCTCTGTCTTCCCCCGCACAGAGTGGGTTCTGCACTTGTATTCCCTGCTCACACACACATCCCACACAGCGCTCAGCTCAGAGCCCTGCAGACACTCCCCGTTGCCCAGACAGAAGCTCACGTTCTGCACAGAATGACCCTGTCCCCACTCCCGTCCTCTCCTCCTTTTCTGCACCTGCTCTGCCTCCTTGCCCTTTCTGGAATATACCAGGCTTGCTGAGGCCTTGTCCTCTCCCTGAGAGCATTGGCTCAGAAGCCACCTGCTTAGGAGGTTGTTTTCAGCACTCCTGCCAGAACACCCACATCAACCTCTGCTCCCCTTCCCAGGCTCTGTGTTTTCTTCGCAGTCCCCTCACAACTAGAAAAATATGAAATCAGGAAGATTCTGGACTATTGCCAGATGCGTCCATGCGCTTAGGGTGGATGGTGTCTCACCTGGGACAATGAAAGCTTTTTAAGGCAGGGGCACGGTCTGTGCTATGCAAATTCGTTTCTTTACGTGCCAGGCACAGAGTTTTGACTCAGCACTTACTGAAAGAGGGGAGGAAGGAAAAAATAGAAGGAAGCAGAAAGGAAGGACAAAAGAAAGAAAGAAAAAGAAAGAAATGACAAATATCATGTGGATAACGTATTTCAATCAGAAATTCAAGTGAGATGCTCTCTGCACCTGTGAAATCAGCAGCTGTAAAGCAGACTGTGTCAGCCGTGTCTCTTGCGTGTGATGCTCTGACCTCTGGGGCCCTGCGGACCCTGGCGGGACGGCCCCACTAGAGCTACCCAGTTCTTAGTGATAGTAAAAGTCTTGCCCGGCAGCCCACCTTCCATGTGCAAACCAACCAAGCCAGGACCACAGCCCATCCACCTCCTCTGCGGGGCTGTCACACTCCAGCCACTCTCCTGCTCACTGTCGTCACCCCAGGCAGGGACCCGACTATTAGGGTCAGCCCCTATGTATGTCCTAGGGCCTGCCAACCCTACACCTGTCATCCTGCCTCACCTGTTTCTTCCCAAAGAATCCAAACAAAGGCTCTTGTCCACGTGTCCCTCCCTCCCCCTGCCTGGCCCTGGTGCTTACCTGCGTGGCTCGGCGAGGTGCAGTGTGCCCCTCCTCTGGGCCACTGTGAGCAACACACTGTCTTTTCAGTGCCATCGTCCCCTGATCTGTTGGCCTCGCCCTACTCGAATCGTCATAAAGCCTACATTTTCAAACACAGTCCTGCCAACGTGTCCTGCTGAGGTCCTTGCCGATGGTGGGGCCCTTCCAGAGTTCTGCTGTGCGGCTGTAGGGGGCAGACACTGTTCAAGCTTCCTGCAAATCGTCGTGGCGGCATATTCCAGAGCCTGCCAAGGCTTGGTGGGGCATGAGCGAGGCTTGGTCAGGGGTCTTTCAGCACGATGTCCTTACTCAGGGCTGATCCGCCTTGTTTCCCTGCAGCCTGAGCCTGTGGGAATTCAAGAGGAACGAAAACACCGATCATGGGACCAGAGCTCTGTTTGGCATTATGCGTCTCTTGAGACTTCATTCTTACAAAAGGGGACTCTGCTTCTAAAACTTACCTCGATTTTCTTTCCCCTTTTTCAGTTTTCCCCCCACAACCTGACCGTGTGGCCATCGTGACGGGAGGGACGGATGGGATCGGATATTCCACGGCCAGGCAGCTGGCGAGACTCGGCATGCATGTCATCGTAGGTGAGGACGTTTGCCGCTGGTTGTATTTCATGCCTAATGTGAGATACTTAGTGGTCTGTGTACCTATGTGTGCAAATGATGATTTCCATACAGACCGAACAGTCAGATACAGAAAACCCATACAGGGGAATATTCAAAAACTGAAAAGGATGGGGAATTGCTTTGCTCTTTTGGACATGAGTGTATGTGTTTTGTGTGTGCTTTGTGAATATTACTACACATTTCTTTCTTTCTTTTCTTTCAGTTGCCACATTGCAACTGTGCATGCTTATGGGATACAGTCTGATGTTTTGATACATATGTATGTTGTATAATATGTTTTGCTTCATTGTTGATCATGTCTTTTTCCCACATGGTTTACTGGAAAAAACAATAGTATGTCTTTATTAGTGTCCCAGAGCTGCCATAACAAGGTACCCCAAGCAGACTGGGCGGCTTAAACAACAGACGTTTATCTCTCATGGTCCTGAGGCTGGAAGTCCGAGATTGAGATGTGGCTGGAAGTCTGAGATCAAGGTGTGGCAGGGCTGGTCTCTCCTGAGGCCTCTCTCCTTGGCTTGTAGACACTGTCTTCTCCTTGTGTCCTCACATGGTCATCTCTCTGTGTGTCTGTGTCCTGTTCTCTTCTTATAAGGACAGCAGTCCTGTTGGATCAGTGTCCACCCTAGTGACCACATTTTACCTTAATCACTTCTTGAAAGACCCTCTCTCCAAATACAGTTACATGCTGAGGTGCAGAACACATGAATATCGAAGAAACACAAGTAATCCCATAAAAGAATCTGAGAAAGTTTTTAGAGCATTATCTCTTTCAGTCATGCCCTATAGACTCTCAACATTTGATTTCTGCTCTTCTTTTCGAAAATCTCTCTAACAGCTTATCTTGATCCTTGACTGCTCTTCCCGTGTGAAGGATTTTCCTTCAACTGGGAAAGTAGGGACCGTTCAGATTAATCCATTCTGCTATTGTCAGTTGTCAGTATTCCCAGGTGATTGCTTACCTGGAGAGGACACTTAAATCTGCTGGCAAAAATGATGTGTGGTGATGAGCTTTGAAAAATAAAGACCTGAATGTTTATGCTCACAATTGACATCACCCGCATTTAATACCTTATATAGTGTTGATTTTTATGAAAATCATACTGTAGGTCTGGTTTTAGGTATGCAGGATTGCATTCACTTTCTAAAACCATACCCATGATATCTCTCTCTCTCTCTCTCTCTCTCTCATATGATGTTTGGGGCTGGCGATTTAGAAACAAATTGATCTCAGTCCTGTCTCACACTTCATGAGTTTGGTCCAGGGCTGGTTTTCACCTTTTCTGAGCCTTGGACATTTGGCATCTGGTGACACCTGAATGTGCAGCCTAAAGACCACAGCAGTACATACCAATTACATTGCCATGCAGATATAGAAATGTATAAGAAAAACCCCGAACTTGCCACATAATCCTGTGCAATCTATAGAATAAATAACATGACCTACTAGGGAGTTCCTTAACTGCTGTGGTTCTGAGCTGTAATGACCATAAACTTGACTTCAGGTTGTCTTTAACAACTGAATCGTGGTATGAAAATATCTGTGGTGGTCTGTATTCGTGCACACATCACAGATGCTGCCCACACGTCTTTCACACACTTTTTTTTTTTCACACCTCTTTTCTGTCTTTATTCACAACAGAACGAAATGCTGATCTTCACTGGGAGGTCAGTCCCAATAATGATGCCCATTCATTTCCATCAAAACTCACAGATCTCTTGAGTTCCACACTGAAACCCCCAGGCATTTTGACCCAGATAGGGAACCCCACATTCAGCCAATGAGGCCTTCTGTATTTTTGGAAAAGTTTGGTTCATGGGGGTGGACCAGCCGTTCACTCAGTCCAGTAAACACATCAGACTCATGCTTGTAAGTTACATCCTCCATGGATGCAAAAACTCAAATAATTTTATTTCATGGCTTTTCCCATGTTTCACATTCTATTCCAATAATAAATTTTTCCTAGTCAATGTCCTTCCTCATATAACCCTCTTTCTTTCGTGCATGACAGGGCTATTGAATAGTGTGCGTTTGTCAGGCTTTGGGAGCAGTTGAACACTTTTTACTCTATTTCAATGCTCTTCCCCCACCATCTAATGGTTCTTTTCTTCAGAAATTTGCCTATGCCCCACTCCAGCATGTTTCCTTTTATCCATACCATTAATAGATGGAAAAATATTAAAAGTTTTTGACAATTCCCTTAAGGTATTAACTTATCAGTGTCCATAATTCTGCTGTTTTCATGTGTTAGGGCTGCTGTATCAAAGTACTATAGACTGGGTGGCTTAGAAATAACATTTATTGCTCACAGTTCTGGAGGCTGAAAGTCCACGATCAGGGTGTGGCAGATTCTGTGCCTGGTGAGGACCCGCTTCTTGGCCCATTGATGGTGCCTTCTCATTGTGTCCTCACGTGGTGGAGGGAGACAGGAGCTCCCTGGGGTCTTTCTTAATTACATTCATGGGGGCTCTACTCTCATGACCTAATTATCTCCCAAAAGCCCCAGGCGGACTGAGACAGGGAAGGAGGACCCTCCAGCCTGAGGAAAGAGGGGGGCCTGACATCCAATTCTGGTCATCCTTGTCCCTGTGGTCCTCCAGTATGATGATCTGCATCTTCTGAATTCTTAGTAAATCTGGGCTTTGTTGAAATAAAAATAAATGCCCCTTTCTCTGTGCTTTTTGCCTCAGTGTTATGGTTTATGTGATGAGGAAGTCTAGTTGGGGATATCATGATGAGATCTAGTTGAGTTAGGTGATAAAGAGTTTCAGTTGGGTTAGGTTATGAAGTCTAGTTGGGTTATATCATGATGAGGTCTATTTTGGTGGGTTAGGTCATGAAGAGGTCTAGTTGTGAAGAGATCTAGTTTGGTTAGGTCCTGATGAGGTCTGGTTGGGTTAGGACATGATGAGATCTAGTTGGATTAGGTCATAATGAAGTCTAGTTGGGGTAGGTCATAATGAGGTCTAGTTGGGGTAGGTCATAATGAGGTCTAGTTGGGGTAGGTCATAATGAGGTCTAGTTGGATTAGGTCATGATGAAGTCTGGCTGGGTTAGGTCATAATGAGGTCTAGTTGGGGTAGGTCATAATGAGGTCTAGTTGGATTAGGTCATGATGAAGTCTGGCTGGGTTAGGCCATAATGAGGTCTAGTTGGATTAGGTCATGATGAAGTCTGGTTGGGTTAGGTCATGATGACATCTAGTTGGATTAGGTCATAATGAGGTCTAGTTGGATTAGGTCATGATGAGATCTAGTTGGATTAGGTCATAATGAGGTCTGGTTGGGTTAGGTCATAATGAGGTCTGGTTGGGTTAGGTCATAATGAGGTCTGGTTGGGTTAGGTCATGATGAAGTCTGGTTGGGTTAGGTCATAATGAGGTCTAGTTGGATTAGGTCATGATGAAGTCTGGCTGGGGTAGGTCATAATGAGGTCTAGTTGGATTAGGTCATGATGAAGTCTGGCTGGGTTAGGTCATAATGAGGTCTAGTTGGATTAGGTCATAATGAGGTCTAGTTGGGGTAGGTCATAATGAGGTCTAGTTGGATTAGGTCATAATGAGGTCTAGTTGGGGTAGGTCATAATGAGGTCTAGTTGGATTAGGTCATGATGAAGTCTGGTTGGGTTAGGTCATAATGAGGTCTAGTTGGATTAGGTCATGATGAAGTCTGGCTGGGTTAGGTCATAATGAGGTCTAGTTGGATTAGGTCATGATGAGATCTAGTTGGATTAGGTCATAATGAGGTCTGGTTGGGTTAGGTCATGATGAGATCTAGTTGGATTAGGTCATAATGAGGTCTAGTTGGATTAGGTCATAATGAGGTCTAGTTGGATTAGGTCATAATGAGGTCTAGTTGGGGTAGGTCATAATGAGGTCTAGTTGGGGTAGGTCATAATGAGGTCTAGTTGGGGTAGGTCATAATGAGGTCTAGTTGGGGTAGGTCTTAATGAGGTCTGGTTGGGTTAGGTCATGGTGAGATCTAGTTGGGTTAGGCCATGATGAGTTTTGGTTTCATTAGGTCCAGATTTGGTGCCGTTGAGTAAGGAGTAGGTACTGTAGGCACAGTGCAAACAAACATGTCTGCAAGCTCTGACACACACGCATGGGAGGACTGGAGTCTCAGTGTTTTCACTTCATTTACATGATGTTCAGTGAGCATCGGGAGCAGTATATGTCAGGTCCAAATGGGTCTTTCCTTTTTTGAGAAAGAAAGTAAGCAACACATTCTCACCCTGCCTATGTCTTCTTTCACAAAGAGCTTCTGATGTCAGTATGGAATTTTCACTGAGGGTTACAGTTTTGACCTTTCAAGGCAATTTAATCTATTATGGAGTCTTACCTCCTCCATGTGACTTTGAGGGTAACTGGATATATCCTGAGAAGGGCAATTTTTCATTTTGTGAGACAGTTTGATTCAAGGTCATTTAAGAAATCATTGGACACTTAGTGCATTTTTATATTAAATACAGAATAAAATATGGATATATTCCACTTCAAATTTCTTATTCTCAAAGTAATTAAAATTTAAGAATGATCAATTACTTGCTAAAGAATTCAGATTATAACCTGGGTCCAACTCAATCACACTAATGTTGCTATGAATGCATTAACTATTCAATTTCCCATATGTTCACAATATGTTAACTTCTTATTGTTTCAAAATATTATTTTGGTGGAGGGTCATTCTACCTTAATAATGCTTAATGACATGTTATTAAAGGTTTAGACCAGGAGTTGGTGAACTTTTTCTCTTATGAGCCTGATAATAAATATTTGCAAAGGTCTGTCTCATAACTATTTTATCTGCTCTTGTGGTGAGACTCATCCAGAAAAGGCATGGCTATGTTCCAATACAAATTTTATTTATTTATGTATTATTTTTTTTTAACAACAACAGGCTGCAGGCTAGATTTGGCTTGAGGGTCGTACTTTGGTAACTTTGGTTTGGGTTTCAAAAAGAATTTTTGTTTTAAATAAGTAGAAATTATATTGCTTAATTTCATATCTGTAAAATCTTGTTAGTATGGTACAGTCCACAAGAAAGGGACTGCCTTGGGTTGAATGTCCCCCCAAAACTTAATGCCCACTGTAACTGTTGAGGGTGGGAAATCCTATTATGGTCATTGAAAGGTGGGTCCTTGAAGAGGTGATTAGATTGTAGGACCCTGCAGTAGTGAATGGATTAATAATGGATTAAAAATGGTGTGGTTCTGAGGGCTTTAATGGAAGAGGGGAGTCTGTCTGTCTTTCTCTGTTCTCTCTACTTCCACCATCTTGCAATATGAGACCTCTGAGTCACTGTCACCACCACCAGATGGACTTTGGACTTCCCAGCCTCCGAAACTGTAAGCAATAAATTTCATCTTGTTACAAAGTACCCAGTTCCAGGTATTTTGTTACAAGCAGCAGAATCAGGCTGATACAGTGACCTGTATATGTGTGCTTATCTAAATAGCAACTATTCTTTAAAAGGGACCCTGTGTCACTTAAACGTTGTATCGTTCTTCAGTCATAGGTGAGGCACATATAAAACTTTTAAAAACTACATTTATATATCTTAATTGACAAATAAAACTGTAGATTTTTATGGTGTTCATTGTGATGTTTTGATACATGTATACCTCATGGAATGGCTCAATCAAGCTAATTAACTTGAGCAATTCCCTCATGTGCTTGTCATTTTTGTGGGGGGGATACCACTCAAGATCTACCCTCAGGGATTTTCAGGTATGCAATACAGTGTGATTAACTATAGTCACCGGGGTGTGCAACAGATCTCTTAAACTCATTCCTTCTGTCTGGCGGACGTATTGTGTCCTTTGACCAACATCTCCCAACCCCACCCGCCCGGCCCCTGGCAACCACCGTTCACTCTCTGCTTCTATGAGTTCAACTTTTTTAGATTCCACATGAGTTAGATCATGCAGTATTTGTTTTTCTGTGTCTGGCTTATTTCTCTTAACATAATGTCCTCCAGGTTCATCCACGTTGTCACAAATGGCAGGACTTTCTTCCTTTTTTAAGGAATATATGCCACATTTTCTTTATCCGTTCATCTATTGATGGACACTTAGGTTGATTCCATAGCTTGGCTATTGTGAACAGCGCTGCATTGAATATGGGAGTGCAGATATCTCTTCAACATATTGATTTCTTTCTTTTGGGTATACATTCAGCCCTCCCTGTCTGTGGGTTCCACATCTAGAGTTTCAATCAACTGCATATCAAAAATATTCAAAAAAAATAAAGTAGAATAATAAACAATATTAAAAATAATACAAATTTTAAAAATGCAGTGTAATGACTTTATGTAGCATTTACCTTGCATTAGGTATTGTAAGTAATCTAGAGATAAAGTACATGGAAGGAGGCACATAGGTTGTATCCAAATACTGCTCCATTTTATATAAGGGACTTGAGCATCCAAGGATTTTGGTATCTGCAAGGGGTCCTGGAATCAGTCTGCCATGGATTCGGAGGGATGACTGTATACCCAGTGGTGGGATCGCCGGATCATATGGTAGTTGTATTTTTAACTGTTTGAAGAACCTCCACACTGTTTTCCATAATGTCTGTACCAATTTACATTTGCACATTTAAAACTTAACCCCCAAATAAAACGGATAAAGCAAGGGGCAGACACATTGGCTTTCCAGTGAGCTCCCACGAGGGTGAAGTATTCAGTAGTTGACCACTAAATGTAAGATCACCTGCAGCAGGTTCATGACGCTATAAGTCCCATGTCCAGCCCCTTAAGGAATCGCTTTTCAGCTCTGAGGACAAGGCAGCTGCTGACCTCTCATGAGACCCTAGCCCATGCCTACCCCCACCCTGGGCCTGTCCACACTGCCAATATGGTGCCAACGTCCCCATGACTGTGTGACTGTGAAGACTGACCTGCCCATCAAGGTAGTCTTCCCAAATGGTCCATTTGCCATGCTTTTTGAAACCCTTGGCTTTTTCTGGACACCTTTGCCTTTTGAGCAAAGGTGGGGGGCTTGTTTCTCACTTGCTCCCATCTTCCACCGTGACACCCCTTTATAGTGACATGGTCCATGGTAGGGGGAGCCCCAGCCATGGAAGACTAACCCGTATTTAAACAGTGCACAGGATTTCAGAATCAAGCTTGTACATGGAGATGGCCCCAACATAGAAGTAATCCTGACTGCAAATTTTCTTTTTTCTATCTTTGATGCCTAGAACATTTAGAGATAGAATCTAGCTTTCAGATTTCCTTTACTTTCCCGCCTCTGCTTCTGCTGTGCAAGAAGACCCTAAAAACAAACAAACAAAGAAAATGAATTGCAGCATAATGTTCTGTATCTTTAAGGAAGCCAGAGGTGCAGATTCCCTTTGCAGCCTGGTGCAACTTTGAACTCTTTCAAGGAGGTGACAATTTAGATATCCCTTTTAGTCTGCCCCAAAGAATGAGCTATATTTATCTTACATGTCTGTGGCCAGAGCTGAATTTCATTAGTTTTATTCTCATATACTGTTTAACTCCTTGCTGAAAACACTTTTTTTATTTTTATTTATTTATTTTTTTTTTGCAGAAAGGGCATTCTACGTATTAATTTGGCAGCGCTTGGCCATGATATGGAGTAAAATGATACAGGGAGGAAATCTAACAGCAGGGCTTCTTGCGTGTTCATTAGAACATGTACATGAAAACAAATGTTTAAATGGCAATCAGAAATGCCTAAGAGGGGAAGATGTGTTTTTATGGGGACCTCAGGATGGTCCTGCACTAGCAAGAGCCCAGCCAGGTGGGTGGAGGTGCAGGTGCAGGGTGACCACACCCCTTGGTATCTGCCAGGTGTTCTGAGCTGGTGTCCTCACACCACCTTCCCGCTCTCTAGGCACCCCGGGAGGTTCGCGCCAGTGCCTAAATGCTTGTGGTACCAGATCTAATCTCCCTCCTATGAGAGCTCTCTCATGATTCACCCCAACAAGGAGTTTTGGGCTTGGTGCACCCTGGAAAAAGGTGTTAATGCATGACGGTGCAGGAGAAGCTGGAATTTCTGGAGCTCCTTTGGACAGGCAGCAAGCAGTCCCTTCAGGCACAACTTAAAAATAAGGCTCTCTGGTCAAAGATGTTTGGAAAAACAACAATCACAGCAACATCCACCTCTGCCTTCCTCTTCAGTGTACTTTCAGTTTCAAAGACATTAAAGAAACCCAATTAACTTTCTTTAACCCCAGATTCCCTCGTCTTTATGTTAAATGTTAACATCCCTTTTGCAAAAAACGCTAGTTGGCATCCTTGTGATGAGCGTTGCTGCAGACATACGTGGAGATTTTCTTTTTCCTTTTATTTTTTGAATTTATTTTGAATTGTACATATTTGTGGAGTACAATGTGTTGTTTCAATCCATACATGGATTGTACAGTGATTCTCAACAAAGTAAAGAGACAACCTAAAGCACGGGGAAAAGTGTTTGCAAACACTAAGATCCAGAATACATACGGAGCTCAAAGAGCTCAACAGCAAAAAAAGAAATAACCTGATTACAATAAGAAATAAAAAAATAATAATAAATAAGGAATAAGAAATCCTGAACTCAAAGTGGCAGCAATTTTCAATTTTTTTTAAATGGCAAGCCTAGTATTTAATTCGGTTTTCACATCTGTAAAATGCAAATATTGCCTTCTTTATGAAGTTTTTGGTACAGTTAAATAAGATAACATCTGTACAGTGCCCAGCGCATGGTTGGTACTCACGAAATGTCAAGTGTTTCTTTTTTCTCTTTTTCAGGTCTGCCTAGATTTAACAAAGATTTGATATAGCATCAACATTATGGAAAAAAGCTTCCATAGTTTCAAACAACTAACTTACAGACGGGATTTTTTAGAATGTATCACATTCATTAGGAGATTAGTCCCTGATTCCTTCCCCCCTCTAAAAAGTTTATTTATTTTTGATTATACATATTTATGGGATGCAGAGTTGAGTATCAGTATTTGCATACAGTATGTGATGATCATGCATTCAATCAGTATGTATTTGATCATGTTTATAGGACGGTCCGTCAGTTAACAGAGGGATGCACCTAGACTAAAAGTTTCCTACAAAGTTCCATTTCTATTCTGATGTGTTTTGCATGTATTTTTATGCTTCTGCTATTCCTGGCTTTCACGTGCAAATTATGCCTGCAGGTGCTTTGCACTCCTGTCATTATTTAAAAGTAAAATGTCAGATACATTTAGGCTTTTTGCCAATTCAGGCGAAAGGAAATATGTCTTAAATTGATTGGTTGAATCAGCTGAAGTGGCTTTGACTGTTAAACACTCGTACAAACGGAAGAGCCTTAACGAGCACTTTTCAGAATTGTGTTTTGGCTCTTGCGAAAACAGTTGAGCGCAGTCGTTTCCGGATGGCCTTACTAGCTAGTGACTGTATCTTTTCTTTTCCTTTTAGCTGGAAATAATGATGGCAAAGCCCAAGAAGTTGTAAGAAAAATAAAAGAAGAAACCTTGAATGACAAAGGTACTAGTGGATAGTCCAATGTCTTTTTTTCCCCCTTTGGAACAGATTGTGTGAGTAATTCACTGTGGAGCTTCAGGCCTGCGGTGTGGGATTGGGAGCAGGGAGCGTGAACGCCGTGGGCCAAGTGGCATTGAAGAGGGACGTCTCTGCTTCTCGGGCTTTCCTTTTGAGAATTTCTGGTGCCGTTGGAGAGCAGGAAGCATCAGCAGGGATGTTACCATAGCATCGCTCAGCTCCGGCACCTATGCATGCTCTGTCACGTATATGATCCAGGCAGGCCAGGACCCATTTTAATTCCTTGGTGACCTCCAGGGCACACACTAGCAGGTGCATCCACTGGTGACATCCAGGGCACACACTAGCAGGTGCATCCACTGGTGACGTCTAGGGCACACACTAGCAGGTGCATCTACTGGTAACCTCCAGGGCACCCACTAGCAGGTGCATCTACTGGTGACCTCCAGGGCACCCACTAGCAGGTGCATCTACTGGTGACCTCCAGGGCACACACTAGCAGGTACATCCACTGGTGACATCCAGGGCACACACTAGCAGGTACATCCACTGGTGACATCCAGGGCACACACTAGCAGGTGAATCTGCTGCTGGGAAGATCTTGACTTGAAATTAATTGAGCAGGAGTATGATTGACTTTAAGACTTTCAGCTAGACCCTGTTGCAGATCCTGTGGTGCTCTCTCTACCTGTTCCACCTGGGTAAGGTGTACGCACATCCCTCTGATGTCTTTCTGGATGCCAGATGTTCTCTTTTTAAATTTATTATTTTTTGTTGTATGTATTTGAGGTGCACAATGTGATGTTCTGATGTGCATATACAGTGTGAAATAATGATTACAGTCAGGCCAATTAACATACCCATCACGTCATATAGTTACCTTGTGTATGTATGTATGAGTGTATGTGTGTGGTAAAAACAACTTTCCTAGCAAATATCCGGTATACAATATAATGTTATTAGCTATAATCTTCATTCTGTGCATTAGATCTCTAGACTTATTCACCCTAAATAGCTGCAAGTTTGTGCCCTTTTGCACATTCCTCCCAGTTTTCTCCCCCTCCGAGCCCCTGGTAACCATCATTGTACTCTCTGGTTCTATGTGTACAACTTTTTCAGATTCCATGTGTGAGTGAGGACGTGAGGTATTTGTCTTCTGTGCCTGGCTCATTTCACTTAACGTTACATCCTCCAGGTTCATCCATGTTGTTGGAAGTGGCAGAATTCCCTCCTTTTTTCGTGGCTGGGTAGTATCCTATTGTGCATAGATAACAAATTTTCTTTATTCATCCATTCGTGGACACTCAGGTTAGTTCCATCTCTTGGCTACTGTGAGTAGTGCTGCAGTAATCACAGGAGTGCAGACACCTCTGCAATATACCGATTTTATCTCCTTTGGGTTTATATCAAGTGGTGGGATTGCTGGATCATGTGGTAGTTGTATTTTTAGTTTTTTGAGGAACCTCTTACTGTTTTCCATAGTGACTGTGCTAATTGACATTCCCACCTACAATTCATTTGTGATCCACATCCTCGCCCAAACTGTCACCTCTTCTTTTTTTTTTTTTTTTAAATTGTCTACTTTAATTGACACAGTGTAACTGTACAATCTTATAGAGGACAATCCGATGTTTTGATACTTGTGTATAATGATTGGGTCAGGGTTTCCTGTTTTTTGATAGTTTTGTCTCACTGTGGTTTTGATTTGCATTTCCCTCACGGTTAATGATGTTAATTGAGCCTCTTTTCATGCACCTGTTGGCCATTCAAATGCTCTTGAGTGCTTTTCGGAGCAATACTTGTGTATGGTGCCTTATGGTTAAAAAAAAAAAATGCATGTCACTGCCTTGGTCAGTTGAGTTTGAGATGGTGTTTTGAGAATACCCCAGAAGCAAGAGATTGTATAGTAAGCCACAAGAGAGAAATACAAGATGTGGAGAACTGAGCCTCATCCGTCTGCGTTAATGTCCCCTCATTCTCGATGCTAGCATCTGTGAAACGCTCTTCTCACCCTCTGCTGAGGGGCTGGACGGTGTTGCACGTCCAAGACATCAGGAACAGCCAGCATTGCAGGATCCCTTTGATCTTGCAAACCCACACCTCGGGCTTCCCCTCAGCCCGTAGCCTAGCTGTATGTGCAATACCAGGAGGGAAGGGGAGGTGTTTCATTCTCTTTATGACCTGTACTAGGGCAGGAAGCATTGATTATCCAGACAGCCGCTTATACACCCACCCCACACTCATACCTTACATCCAGTGGTGCAGGAGGCCACGTCTCTAACACAGCGCATCTCCAAGTGCCACTCCCAGACCCGCAGCTTCAGCATCTTGCAGGAGCAGGTGACCTGTGCAAATTCCCAGGCCCCTCCTGTGTGGCCAGACCTCTGAGGATGGAGCCCAGGAGTCTACATTCTCAAAAGCCTTTCTGACGATTTCCCTGCACGTTCAACTTGGAGACGTATTCCTGTCATAAATGCATGAAACCATCACTTTGGGCCAAAAGAGATGTCTCATAGGAAATGGACACATTGTGTATTCTTTTTCCATGGCTTTTTTTTTTTTTAGTCCTAATGAATTTTTTAAAATTTTATTTATTTATTTTATCTTATTTTTTTAAAAAATAGTTTAATCCTTTATACTACAAGCAAAAGATGACAAAGTGTTAAGGATTCATTCTGGGGATGGGAATTTTGAGCATTTGTTATGTTATTCTTTGCAGTTTTCCATGTCTTGTAATTTTCTCAAAACAAATTTAAAAAGAAGAGAAAGTCTGAATGAAGAAGTGGATTAACCTCTTGTAGTTTTATAGGATCTAAAGCTCTGTGAAGAGCTGTTACCTACACTTGATCATCACAGTAATTCTGGGGTAATTATTATCACCTTTATTTTATACAGAAGAAAAGTGGGACTAGTACTTAAGAAGAGGTTTGCCATGAGAACCAGTCAGGTTGGGGCAATGTTTGGCTGAGAATCTGACCTAGGGATCATTTCCCATTCAAAAGATTCCATCTATATCCTTGAGATAGGAAGGTTAGATAACAGATAAAAAGCAATTAGCTTTGGGACCTATAGACGAGAGACCTGTAAACTGCTGGAGAACAGATGAGCAAATATTTTAATACAAATAAAAAATGCGCTAAATGATCTTAGGCAAGTTGCTTCAACTTTTTAAGGTTTACTTTTCTCACCTGTAAAAGAGGGTGATTACTTACTTTGTATTATTTTTTGTGAGGATTAAGTTTTACAATTTTTGTAAATGACACAGCACAATATCTGACACTTAATAGATGTGCGATATTTGTGTATTTCCTCTCCGTTTCTTATGAGCCATTAGAAATTGCCTTTTTTGCAAGTAGAAATGGTTGAACACAGGCAATTTCATGAGGGTTTTTTTTTTTTTTTTTAGTCCTAATGAATTTTTTTTAATTAGTTTATTTTTTTTGGAGGCTGGTATCGGGATCCCAACCCTTGACCTTGGTGTTATATAGCACTGTGCTCTAACCAACGGAGCTAACCGTCCAGCCCCTGAATGAATTTTTTTTTTAAAAGGTAGTTTAAAGAATAATTCACAAAAACTTGCTTAGGTGGTAAACCTAACCAAGCAGATAGGCGAGGATTGTTTTGGGCTCTCTGTGGCTGCTTAAAATCTTAGATTTGGGGCTGGGCCCCGGGGCCCCCCCGGGGGGGGGGGGG